TCGAACTCACAGAGATCCTCCTGCCTCTGCCTCCTGGAGTGCTGGGATTAAAAGCATGTGCTACCACTGCCTGGATTGACACAGGGTCTTACTGTGTAGCTCTGGATAGCTTGGAACTCACTGTGTAGTGTAACATAATAAAGCTTCAAGCTGAAGATCTCAAAAAAAAAAAAAACAAAGCAGCTGGTCACTAGCTCTTACTCTACCTCAGAATGAAAGGTGATTCTGGCCCCATCAAACCTCAGACTGTAACCTCTTCCTCAGTGTGGCTAGAGAATGAATCCCCAATATTGACTACTGAAGGCCCTGCTACTATCTTTTATACCCCTCTAGTGCTGGGATTAAAGGCATATGATCCCAAGTGCTGATCATCTTTGTGTGACCTGTTTCTTTTTAGGACTGAATCAATCTTGTGTAGATTTGGGTGGCTTTGGACTCACAGAGATCCTTTACCTCTTAATCCCCAGTCCTAGGATTAAAGGTATGTACCACCACCCTAGTTTCTGGCTGCTGGGATTAAAGGTGTGTATAACCACTGTCTGATCTCTATAGCTTGAGGCTGGTTTTGCCTTCTGAATTCTCAGACAAGCTTTAATAAATCATAAATATGTCACCACAATGTGGACAAGGCTGCCCTTGAACTCACAATGATCCACCTCTTGAGTGCTGGCATCAAAAACCTATACTACTGTGCCTATTTGTTTTGTTTGGAGACAGGACTTGATGTATCCCATGCTGGACTCATTCTTTTATGAGATCTTGTTAAAGATGATCTTGATCTTGTATATTTCTTTTTAATTACCTGTATGTGTATGCTGCTAGGTATTTTGCCTGAATGTACATCTGTGCACCATGTGGGTGCATTGCACAAGGAGGCCAGAAGGTGTTGGATTCTCTTGGACTAGAGTTTCAGTCAGTTGTGAGCTACCATGTGGTGGTGGGAATTGAACCCTGATCCTCTAGAAGAACAGCCAGTGCTCTTAACTGCTGAGTCATCTCTCTAGGCCTGACCTTAAACTTTTGCTCTTTCTGCCTCCAACTTCTAAGAGTTGGGATTACAGGTGTGCAACACAATGCCTACCTACCTCTAACTACTTTTAAAAATGTTTAGTTGCAGGCTGGAGAAATGACTCAGCTGTTAAAGGCTAGGCTCACAATAAAAAATGAAGTATTTATTTGTTGATGTCTTTAAAGTTTTGTGTGTTCTACACATCTAAGCAAGCTGAGACCTTGTGTTTCCTCACTCTGAAGAGAAAATTTAAACCTGGAAAGCCCTGGCCAATTTCAAAAGACTCCTGCCACAACCTCCCCACCAAAGTATAACAAAAGTCATTCCTTATATTTTTGGTTGTGAGCCTAGTCTTTAATGGCTGAGCCATATCTCTAGCCCACAAAAGTCATTCCTTGATGGGTAATCTTTTGTTTTTCAAGACAAGGTTTCTCTGTGTAGCTTTTGGAATCTGTCCTGGAACTCTTCCTGTAGACTACACATTGGTAATTTTAACACTCCAGCGGCTGAGACAAGAGGACTGCCATGAGCTCAAGGGGCTCAAGGTCTATTACAGAGTATGCTACAGAAAGAGATTCTGTCCCACCTCCCACCCCTGGCTGTTCTGGAACTTGCTCTGAAGTACAGGCTAACCTCAAACCTAGAAATCTGCCTTCATCTGTCTCCCAAATTCTGGGATTAAAGGCATGCGCTACCTCCACCTGGTTCATTGTAATTTTCATGAAGATAACCCTGGGAAACCTGCTCATTTTTTTTTTTTTTTGTTTTGTTTTGTTTTGTTTAAGGGAAGTGGAGGAGTGGATCTGGGAGAGAGGGAAGGGAAGCAGACAGGAGGGACCGTGAGGAGCAGGGGAAGGGGAACTACCATCAGGATGTAATGTATGAGAGAGAGAGAGAGAGAAAAGAAAGTGAAAATCAGGAACAAAACAAGGTTGCCCACTCTCTCCATATCTCTCTCTTCAATATTGTACTTGAAGTCCTAGCTAGAGCAATAAGACAACAAAAGGAGATCAAGGGGATACAAATTGGAAAGGAAGAAGTCAAACTTTCATGATGCAGATATTATAGTCTACATAAGTGACCCGAAAAACTCTACCAGGGAACTCCTACAGCTGATAAACACATTCAGCAAAGTAGCAGGATACAAAATTAACTCAAAAAAAAATCAGTAGCCTTACTATATACAGATGAAAAACAGAATGAGAAAGAAATCAGAGAAACATCACCCTTCACAATATCCACAACATAAAATATCTTGGGGTAAACAACATAAAATATCTTGGGGTAATGCTAACTAAAAAAGTGAAAGACCTGTACAGCAAGAACTTTGAGTCTTTAAAGAAAGAAATTAAAGAAGATGCCAGAAAACGGAAAGATCTCCCATGCTCTTGGATAGGTAGAATCAACATAGTAAAAATGGCAATCCTGCCAAAAGTAATCTATAGATTCAACGCAATCCCCATCAAAATCCCAACACAATTCTTCACAGACCTTGAAAGAACAATACTCAACTTTATATGGAAAAACAAAAAACCCAGGATAGCCAAAAGAACCCTGTACAATAAAGGAACCTCTGGAGCATCACCATCCCTGACTTCAAGCTCCTGAAAACAGCTTGATATTGGCACAAAAATAGACAGATAGACCAATAGAATCAATTGAAAATCCTGATATTAACCCACACACCTATGAACACCTGATTTTCAACAAAGATGCTAAATCTATACAATGGAAAAAAGATAGCATCTTCAACAAATGGTGCTGGCACAACTGGATTCGGACATGCAGAGGACTGCAGATAGATCCATACCTGTCACCATGCACAAAACTTAAGTCCAAATGGATCAAAGATCTCAATATAAATCCAGCCACACTGAACCTTCTAGAAGAGAAAGTGGGAGATACCCTTGAATGAATTGGTACAGGAGACTGCTTCCTGAGCATAATACCAGTAGCACAGATATTGAGATCTATCTGAAACTGAGAAGCTTCTGTAAGGCAAAGGACACAGTCAGTAAGACAAAATGACAGCCCACAGAATGGGAAAAGATCTTCACCAACCCTACATCTGACAGAGGGCTGATTTCCAAAATATACAATAACTCAAGAAGCTAGCCACCAAAACACCAATCAATGAAATTAAAAAATGGGGCACAGAACTAAATAGAGAATTCTCAACAGAAGAATCTAAAATGGCTGAAAGACATTTAAGAAAGTGCCATCAGAGAAATGCAACTCAAAACAACTCTGAGATACCTTTTTTTTTTTTTTTTTGGTTTTTGGCTTTTCAAGACAGGGTTTCTCTATGTAGCTTTGGAGCCTATCCTGGCACTCACTCTGGAGACCAGGCTGGCCTTGAACTCACAGAGATCCACCTGCTTCTGCCTCCCGAGTGCTGGGATTAAAGGCGTGCGTCACCAATGCCCGGCTCTGAGATACCATCTTACACCGGCCAGAATGGATAAAATAAAAAACACCAATGACAACCTATGCTGGAGAGGGTGTGGAGAAAAAGGTATACTCCTCTATTGCTGGTGGGAGTGCAAACTTGTAAGACCACTCTGGAAATCAGTATGGCAGTTGCTCAGGAAAATGGGAATTAGTCTACCTCAAGATCCAGCAATTCCTCTTTTGGGCATATACCCAAATAATGCATGTTCATAAACAAGGACATATGTTCAACCATGTTCATACAAACCATTGTTTGTAATAGCCAGAACCTGGAGGCAACCTAGATGCCCTTTGACTGAAGAATGGATAGAGAAAATGTGGTACATTTACACAACGGAGTACTACTCAGCAGAAAAAAGCAATGGAATCTTGAAATTCGCAGGCAAATGGATGGAACTAGAAGAAACCATCCTGAGTGAGGTAACCCAGTCACAAAAAGACAAACATGGTATGTACTCACTCATATGGATTTTAGACATAAAACAAAGGATTACCAGCCTACAATCCTCTTCACCAAAGGAACTAGGAAACAAGAAGGACTAAGAGAAAAATGCATGGTCCCCGGAGAATGGGAAGGGCTAGGATCGCCTAAGCTAATTGGGAGCATGAGGGTAGGGGAGAGGGAGCTGGCTGAATGTGAGAAGAGAAGGGGAGAGGAGGAAATGGAGGAGCAGAAAGGTTGAGTTGGGGGAAGAATAGAGGTGAGCAGGATGAGAGATATCATAACAGAGGGAGCCATTATAGGTCCGAGGAGAAATCTGGCACTAGGGAGATTTCCAGAGA